TAATCATCCACTAATTAATCCCTCACTTAAAGTTAATGGCACTTACATTAGCCAAATCATACTTAATATCACATTTGGAATTAACATCCTTGCCTAATATTTCTATAATCACTTGGAACCTAAAATAAAATCTCATTCCCCGGACTTACGTCTACTAGATCATGACGCGCACTACGTATAAAAAAAATACGAGGCATAACATCCTTCCCCCCTTAGGAACATTTATCCTCGAATTTTAAGTTAGCGTCTTACAAAAACAAATTCCAGCGAGGTCTCTCTAACAGTTATACCTATCAACCTGCATTCCGTAACTTACATATGCCTCACAGAGTCATAACTTACTACATAATCTCGTTTATTAATCAATTTAGTCAATCTAGGAATTGAATTACCTGCAGGTATGGGGAACAAGTAAGGATACTTATTCTTCATTTCGTCTTCCGCTTCCCAAGTCATCTCCTCCCTATTATTATTTTGCCACAACACTTTGACGGAAGCCACATCCTATGTACGTAACCTTCTAACCTGGCGATCAAGTATAGCTACGGGTTTCTCCTTATATGACAACTCCTTTGTTACCTGAACATCATCTACGGGGAATACTCTAGAAGGATCACCAATGCATTTACGTAGAATCGATACATGGAAGACTGGATGTACCGCCTCCAAATAAGATGGTAGATTCAACTCATAGGCAACCTTGCCTATCCTACGAACAATCTGATAAGGCCCAATGTATCTCGGACTGAGCTTCCCCTTCCTGCTGAATCTCATTACACCTCTCATGGGTGATACCTTCAGGAATACCCAGTCCCAATCTGAAACTCCAAATCTCGACGCCGATTATCTTCATATGAATTCTGTCGACTCTGGGCTGCTAATAATCTTTCTTGAATAAACTTCACCTTGTCAACAGCTTGCTGAATCACATCCGGGCCTATTAACTTAGTCTCTCCAACATCAAACCAACCAATAGGTGATCTACACTTCCTCCCATATAAGGCCTCGTACGGTGCCATCTGGATACTAGAATGGTAACTATTATTATAGGCAAACTCAATTAGCGGCAAGTGTTCATCCCAGCTACCTTTGAAGTCAATAATACAGGCCCGCAACATATCTTCTAATGTCTGAATAGTACGCTCAGCCTGCCCATCAGTCTGAGGTTGAAATGTTGTGCTAAGGTTCACTTGTATCCCCAATCCCTTCTGAAACGATCTCCAAAAGTTTGCTGTAAATTGAGCTCCTATGTCTGATATAATGGACGTGGGAACCCCATGAAGTCTCACTATCTCCCTGACATATATCCTCGCATAATCTTCAGCTGAATAAGTAGTCCACACTGGAAGAAAATGGGCCGATTTCATCAGCCTATCTACAATAACCCATATAGAGTCATACTTCCGTTAAGTGTGAGGTAAGCCTGTAATGAAGTCCATATTAATCATCTCCCATTTCCAAGTCGGGATCTCTATCTCCTCTAATAATCCACTAGGCTTTTGATGTTCGATCTTGACTTGTTGACAATTCGGGCACTGAGCAACAAACTCCGCTATGTCTTTTTTAATGCCATCCAACCAATATAAGCATTTGAGGACATGATACATTTTCTTTGACCCTGGGTGAATAGAATAATAGACAGAGTGTGCCTCTCCCATAACCTGCCGTTGTAGCCCCGCAATATCGGGTACACACAATCTTCCTTCATATCGTAACACTCCGTCAGGTGTAACCTTAAATGGGATCTTTTCCTTTTAAAGAGCTGCATCTCTATACTGTGCCAGAATATGGTCCTTGTATTGGTGTCTCTTTACCTCATCTATGATTGAGGACTCAGCAACCTCTCAAATAGAAACTCCACTATCTTCTTAGTTATCCAAACGGACTCCAAGGCTGGATAGCCGCTGAATCTCCCGAACCATATCCCTCCTTTGTGGTTGTACATCTGTCAAGCTACCCATGGACTTACGGCTAAGAGCATCTGCTACAATATTCGCTTTCCCTGGATGATATAAAATATCAACATCATAATCCTTTAGCAACTCTCACCACCGCCTCTGTCGTAAGTTCAGCTCCTTCTGTTTAAAGATATATTGGAGACACTTATGATCTGTATAGATGTCCACATGGACACCATATAAATAATGACTCCACATCTTCAAGGCATGAACCACGACCACTATCTCCAGAACGTGAGTAGGATAGTTCTTTTCATGCTTCCAAAGCTGTCGTGAGGCATAGGCTATAACTTTGCCATGCTGCATCAATACACATCCTAGCCCAACACCCAAAGCATCACAATAAATAACATAGCCGTCTGGTCCCACCGGAAGAGTTAGGATTGGAGCCCTAGTCAATTTGTCTTTCAATAGCTTGAAGCCTTGCTCACAAGCATCAGTCCACGGGAACTTGGCTGCCTTTTGAGTTAGCCTTGTCAAAGGCACTGAAATTGAGGCAAGCTTTTCTACGAATTTCCTATAATATCATGCTAACCCCAGATACCTCAGTAGGTGTCGTAGCTCTGGGCCAAGTCTTTACCGCCTCAATCTTCTACGTGTCTACCCGAATACCATCAGCTCCAATAATATGCCCCAAGAATTCCACTGAAGTCAACCAGAACTCGCACTTAGAAAATTTAGCATACAACTTCTGGTGCTGAAGCACCCTTAGTACCGTCCTTAAATGGTCTGCATGCTCCTCTTCTGAACGTGAATAGACCAGAATATCGTCTATAAATACAATAACAAACATATCAAGGTATGGTTTAAATACTCGATTCATGAAATGCATAAACACCGCTGGAGCATTAGTCAGCCCAAAAGACAGCACTCAAAGCTCATAATGCCTGTATCGGGTCCGGAATGCCATCTTTGGAATATCTGCCTCCCTTACCCGCACCTGATGATTACCTGACCACAAGTCTATCATTGAAAACACTTTGCACCCTGCAACTGGTCAAATAGATCGTCAATCCTTTGGAGGGGATACCTGTTCTTTATTGTTACTTTGTTCAACTGCCTATAATCAATGCACATCCGCAGCGACCCATCTTTCTTCCTCACAAACAGTATCGGTGCTCCCCAAGGTGACGTACTAGGCATGATGAAGCCCTTTTCTAGCAAATCCTTCAATTGCTCTTTCAATTCTTTCAACTCAACAGGTGCCATTCTATAAGGAGGTATAGATATAGGCTGGGTATCTGGCAGTACATCTATAGTAAACTCTATCTCCCATTCTGGAGGAAGGCCTGGATGTTCCTCGGGGAATACATCGAGAATTTCATTAACTAGCGGGATTGATTGAAGAGTCGGTGCCTCTTCCTTTATGTCATGCACCCGAATCAGATGGTAAACATTGCCTTTTCTAACCATCTTCCCGGCCTTAAGGTATGAAATGAACTTACCTTTCGGCGATACTGTACTTCCCTTTCACTCTATAATCGGTTCCCCTAGAAATTGAAATCGAACTATCTTTCCTCTGCAATCAACATTAGCATAACAAGAAGCCAACCAATCCATGCCCATGATAATATCAAACTCAATCATATTTAACTCAATCAGATCTGCTATGGTACGATGACTATATATAACTACTGAACAATTCCTATATACTCGCGTAGATATGACAAAATCTCCTACAGGTGTAGCTACCTCAAATGGTTCTATCAACTCAGACTCTATTGCGATCCTACTAGCAACAAAGGGAGATATATATGATAAGGTGGAACCTGGGCAATGCATACACACTTCGAGAGAATAGTAATAATATGCCTGTGATCACATTAGGTGACGCCTCCTGATCCTGCCTATTAGTCAAAGCATATATACGGTTTGAGGGACCGCTAGAACTGGAAACTCCACCACGTCCTTTACCACGGCCTGCTGGCGCCTGAATACCCTGCCCCGTAGGGCGCATAGCCACAGAAGAAGATGAACCAGTAACAGACTCGGTAGACAGTGCCATACCACCTGCACTACCTCTAAGGTGACACTCTCTCATAGTATGGCCCTGACGGCCGCAAGAAAATCATGCACCTTTTGCCCAACGACATTCCCTAGGATGGGATCTACCACAACAAGAACACTGAGGCAAAGGTGGCCTCGACTGGCTCAAACCCCTGCCCATCTGTGACCCGGATGCCCTAGAGCTCTGACCAGCTTCCGAATATCCCGTACGATCGAACCCCCTACTCATGAAACGTGGGGGTGTACTATGTGCTGGCTGGGAAGAAAATCTAACATGCTGCTGAGACTGCCCGCTTCGAAACTCCTCAGGATAACCTGCTGATCTAGCCCTCTTATGCTGGCCTCTATTATAATCTCTATCTAGCTGACGTTCCCGGTGCCGATCCTCTACACCCTGTGCATATGCCTGCACCCGAGCAATATCCATACCTGGCTGAAGAGTCACTGTCATACAACCATAATTCATATAACGATCCAATCCCATCACATAACGATGTACCCTGTCTGCCATATCAGCCACAATAGTAGGCGCATGCCTAGCCAATGAATCAAACTCGAGGCTATACTCTCGAATGCTCCTGCCATTTTGCTTCAAACGCATGAATCTATCGACTCTAGCTCGCTTCATCTCTGGAGGCAGGAAGTGGCCCTGGAAAGCCTCCACAAATTCATCCCATACTGCTGGAGGAGCACCCATACCCCTAGATAACTCCCAAGACTCATACCAATTAATAGCTACATCCTGCAAATGATACGTAGCAAACTCAACAGACTCGGTCTCTGAAGCCTTGATTATCCTCAATGTACGCTGCATCTGACGAATAAACTCTTGCGGATCATCCTGGGGCCTTGACCCAAAGAACTCTGGAGGATTACAACTTAAGAAGTCAGGAGCCCTTAAGCTATCAGATCTGTCCGCATGATCAACTCCTAGTCCATGCCTGCGAGCCTGATCTGCCACTAATCTAGTGAGCAATTGAACTGCATCTCTCATGGCCCTATCCTCCGGCCCTGATTGAGGAGCTGGAGGTTCAGGTGTTGGGGCCTCGGGGGCTGGTGGTGTCCCCCGAACTGGAGCTGCTGCTGGTCTAAGCTCCGCTGGCAGTGGTGGTGTAGCAGAGCTCTCCGACTGGAGCATAATACCATGCATAGACTGGGCACGGGCCCTAGTAACTCTCCGGGTCTGACTAGTACCTTCTGCTACCGATTTTCCGTTCTGGGCGGCTGTCGCTTTCTTTGGAGGCATAGCTGAAAACACACGGATTCGTTCGAGAGGGATTATCCTATTTATATAGCTCTATCACACGATCTAGAATAAGAAGAAAGAATGACATCCTAAATGTCCTGTAGCTTCCTGTTTATAGATGTGGTGCACAACACATCGATAAACAAGACTCTACTACACACGGTCTGTAGGCACTTCCGAGGAAGAACCGCTGTGATACCACTCTTTGTCACGACCAAACCCGATGGGCCGTGAGTAGTGCCCGTTTTGGACACCCACATACAAACCTGCTAAGTATAACCAACTAAAACTAAGACAATATGGAATTTAATCAAATCAAGCCAACCCCAACGTCATATATATATAAGAGGACCTGTCTCATAAGGAGTCATAATCATTCAACCATAACAGCATACGCGAGCCGACAAGGCCGCCACTATTCCAAGCATAATAACATACGTAAGCCGACAAGGCTGCCACTACATAATACACAATGATGTACGCAGCCGAAAGGGCTGCCCCTGTACAAGCAGACATCCCAAACAAACCATGTCCACACCATTATCCAAAATATATATATACAACCCACATAATGTCCAAAGAACTCTAAGAGTACATTAGTGAAACTCGATGGAACAGGGCCCCGCCATACCCATAGACGAGCAAAAGACTACACAAAAGTTATGTACCAAAATGACTGGGCTCCGGAACAGTGGAGCTCTCCCAATCAGCAGAGTAGATATCCTAGGCAGGAGGATCACCGAACTGTGCGTCTACACCTGCGGGCATGAAACGCAGCCCCCCAAGAAAAGGGGGTCAGTACGGACAATGTACTAATTATGTAAAGCATAAGGTAAAGATGACAGGATACCAATATGGCAAGTCGAAACAAAATATCGCTACACATGCACCCTTTTAAGTGAAAATCATGCATATCTTTAACATATAAGGTGCCCAGATTCCCTAGTAAGGGACTTGGCAAAATAATCATCACGTCATCTTCGTCATCATCATCATCATAAGCATCCTCATCACCAATCATATATATAATATACATACCCGGCCCTCTAGTGAGGGACTCGGTGACATATGCAAGAAACTCCGCACGAACATTACCAGGCCCGGGATTCGGTGAAATGATAAATGACAAATCATTTCTTATAACTCAATAGAACAATCAACGTGAACCAGCAAGGAGTATTACCAAAAATTAACGTTTTATCAAGATTATGAACCTTTAATACGATATGGAAACGTAAAATCTCAATGACTCTAAGAAGCACTACCATAGATATAAGAAATCATCATAGCCTTAGACATGGCCGATATATAGAGGAATAGTTGTGGAACCAAGAATATATGTCACCTAGACGATCTAGAAGTAAGTATTAAACCTGTCCATTATTCGCTCATTCTTAAAAGTCATGCCAAATAAAGAAAGAAAGGATAGTGTTACATACAGTATAGTCGAGCCGCACGTCAAATATTTACTGCTCAAGCTATTAATCTATAACAAGCAACAATCGTGCCGCAATTAGATAAACGTCGCGCTTTACTACCTATTGTAAGTGAGCTAATAATCTAACGAAAATCCTGTAGCACTGCCCCTATTTTCCTTACTTCGTCCCAATCCGACAACAACCCAAATTATCCATAGCAATACCAATAACACATATATCCCAACGAATCATATTAAAAAGCGCCCCCCCCCCCAAAACAGTTCCGTCTCGGCAACCATAGTAATGAAGCAACGACACACCGAGCGAGAACTTGTTTTATAATTTGCAACACATCTACCTTATCGTATTCATCCTTTGGAGTATATACCCATAATCACATTAACATATGCATAACGCCAAAACAAAATGTCCCGCAGTTTGCTTTAATAAAAATAGCCCAAACACTAACACGACAGCACTAATAATCCGATTCTGGTTTCCGTTCATACTTAGCACATTCAGTAACTAAAATAAACTTCCAAAGCTACTGGTCACACCTCCTTCTTAAACATTAATGGTTAATTAACAAAGGTATTCAAAGGAATTAACACACCAAGAAAAGAGATTACTAACCAATTT